TCTCTCTCTCTCTCTCTCTCTCTCTCTCTCTCTCTCTCTCTCTTTGGTCCTGGGAATCAAACCCAGGGCCTTGTGCATGCAAGGCAAGCACTCTACCCTCTGAGCTATATCCCCAGCCCTATGTTCTCTTTTTGACAGACAAATAAATACATAAAACATCTTAAATAATATAGGAACATTTCAAGTAGGGAATATAAGTTTTGAAATATCTATGTAAAGTCAGTATATTAAAGTACACACTTAATATTACTAGCAATTTTATATGTATATTATACCCATAAGTGATATCACTGTGTCTATAGATCTGAAGGATATACATAAACCATAACTAAATAACCTTGGATGTATTTCTGCCTTTAGTTTAGCTTACTACTTTATTTTCCTTTCTTCTTCAGTTGTTCTACAAAGTAATCATTACAGGCAACTGTCAGAGCTGCCACCATGACCACGAATTCATTAAAATCCACTTCATTGTCCTTATTGGCATCCAGGTCCTGCATTATCTTATCAACCAACTGGGGATCCTTTTGGCACTAAAAAGAAAAAAGAAAATTTCTAACTCCCAGGCTTTGAGATTCATGATTGAAAATATAACTTCATTTTATTTATATTGAAAGTTTTAAAAAATCCATTTTTAGTAGCTAAAGACAAATCCCAAGAGCTTGTTTGCAAAAAAAATTGAGCCAGGCCACATTCTAAATAAGGCAGTTTTTGTTCCATATCTATATAATGCAGACTCAGACCTGATGGTCAAGAAGTCACTGATCAAGGGAGATACGGATGTTACAAACACATTTACAGGACACCCACAGGTCAGGACACTGGGATATAGGTAACTTGGAAACAGTAGCTTTAAAATCAAAAGGGACAGTGAGGGGCTGTACCACTTAACGAAAACAGGATTTTGAGGAATCATTTAACATTTTAAGATTTCCTTGTTTATAAAATGGAGAGAGTATCTACCTGCATTTTGGGGATACTTCAATACTACTTAGTAGCAGGGTCACTCTAGTCACCCAACAAAATTATAGGACATCCAATTAAATTTGAATTTTAGATAAACAACAGGTAAATTTTTAGTATGAATATGTCCCAAGTATTTTATGGGACATAAACTATTCCATCTGAGAGTCTTACTAAGCAAAATGTCTGACACACAAAGAAGAGGCATCCATCAAGGGAAGATATTATAAGAATGACTGCATTTTATAGGTGGAAAGAAAAGCAGGGAACTCACCTAAGAGATCAAGATCATGAGAGGTGAGACTGAGAACACCTGCCTCTCCTATGATTAGGGTAATGAGAAATATTTCTAAAAGCAGTTAATTTCCTCCAAGAATCCCTCATTACCCTCATTATCTGATAACCATTAAATAATTGGAGCTTTGAGTATAATTGATCAAAATCAACTTCATCAAAACAATTATAAATTTCACTTGAACAGAGCAATGTGTCAGGTTTGACCTACTGAATTTTTTATTCCAAACAATACAGTAGACAAACTGAAATTGAGAGAAAGACAGTTCCTATAGACTCCTAAAATTACTAAAAATAGATTTCAAAGGATTACTATGTTGAAATTGTTCTTTTTAAATTTTTTTTAATTGTAGATGTATATGATAACTTTATTTTATTTATTTATTTTTATATGGTGCTGAGGATTGAACCCAGGGCCTCGAATATACACTACAGCGGAGCCACAACCCCAGCCCTTGAAATTGTTTTACTTTAAGCTTTTGCCATAGAGGACAGGGAGAAAAATATGTTATAATTACTATCTGTGATCTTAATACCGGGTTGGGACAAAATAATATGCAACAGTACATTGTGTTGGAAATCAGTTCAAGGCAATTTCATAAACATCAGAACAAAGTGTTATACTCAGAGGGAGCACTCGCATTCTACTATAAAGTTTAATGTTTAGATTATTGGGCTCCTGGCTATTTTGAGATGTGAATCTGCTTGCCACCCATCTGTTTCTCAGCCAGACACATCCTTTTCATCAATCCCAATTATCTTGTGCTTGGATGACAAAGCTCTGGTAAGTATTTGTCATTCACTAGAAAATTTACCACCACCTCACAAGGTTCTCCGGACTTTATCTCAGGACCAACACAATGTTAATTTATAAACAATTGGGAAGAGCTCCTGTATAACTAGCTATAACTAGTTTTAAGTAGATATAACTAATTATAATTATCATCCCTAGCATAACTAGCTATATATAATTTATTGCTGCACCAGAATGTTGAATAATTGATGAAAATATCAATATAATTGTCCACACTTAAAAGCCCTCACCCCAGGCAGTATCGAAAAAGGAACACACCAGGATACACAGAAAAAAAATGTCTCTAGTGTTTGTTTCCCATGCATCTTGAATCTCAATACAAATTACAATGTTTGCGTCAGAATCATAGGACAGTTTATACCTAAAGGCTGTCCCTGAACTCCTACCTCATCCACCCTCAGCAAAATGTGGCAGAAAAACTGTGACTCACCGAGAGGAATTCTGTGAGCTCTCGCTGCAAAAGCAGCTTCAGTTCCCCCTTGTTGAGCTTGAATCTGTCCCCTTCCTTGCAAGAGTACCGGTGGAAGATTCTAATCATGGTGTCCATGGCCATCTCCAGCTGGGTGGGCATGTCAGCAGAAGAACTGACCACTCCAGAAGCAGACCACCAAACTCAGGGAGGAGGCACTTGTTCAAAAGAAGCAGATGGGGAGCATCAATACTTTCATGAAAACAATATAACACCATCTCCTGAGCCACCCCACTACACAATGATGGTGCTAAACCATAATGATTTTCCATTAAAGACAGCGTCTGCCCCTTCTAGAATAAGCTGCAAATGAAAATTTGCAGGTGGTACGTTTCTTCTCCCTAATACCCACTCACTCCCCACAATGTAGCAGTTTCAGCATGTTCATAAGTTAGCAACCAGAAAACAAGCACAGAGTCATGTAAAATGTAGGATTAAAAATAAATATAAAGAAAATACCTAACTGTACCTAGTCAGCCAGTACACAGCTCCGTCAACAGGTGCTTACAATTAAACTATGAGCATTTATACTTGGGCTTCCACCCCCACACACCTGTTCCCAACAAATGAAAATTGCCAGTGACAAGAGATTCAACTGGAGGTTCCTGTTTTTAATCAGCAGAATGAACAGGTGTGAACTGCTGCCCCAAGGGCCATCAAGGAAGGCTGGCACCCATTGTGAGAAGGGGAGAAGAAGAGAGGTTTCCTTTCCTTCCTCTCATAGGGAAGTGAGGCTAGAAATGTAGTTAGTTGCTAGGAAGTTGATGACTAGAAAGAACTCTAAAAATAGAGGAGCAATGGCGGAACATTTATTCAAGCCAGGAGACTCCTTAGCAAAGCCAATAGAGAGAAAGCTCTTTATGTGCTAATGGAGTGATCACATCACAGGTTTAAAGAAGTAATCCTGTGTAAAAATAAATAAGTAAATAAAATAAAATAAAAATGTATGTATATATAAGCTTGTGTGTGCCTGAAGAATCACTAAAGTAGGGGCTGTAGTTTTGGCTCAGAGGTAGAGCACTTGCCTAGCACACATGAGGCACTGGGTTCAATCCTCAGCACCCATACAAATAAATAAATAAAAGTTTAAAAAATCACTAAAGTAACTCACTGAGAGCTGCTACAAGGCATTATTGGTAAAACAGGGTGGTTGCCTCCTGGCTGTCTCGCTCTTGCTGCTCTTTCCCTCTCCCTCTCCTTCCCACCAGCCATGGAATGAGCAGCTTCCCTCTGCCACACCCTCTGCCATGATATTCTTCCTCAACTTCTGTAATGCCACTTTGTGAACAATGGTTTGACAATGGATTCCTCTTTTTCCTTGGTTCTTTCCAATCTTCCAAACAGAAACTAGCCTTGCCCCCAAAGAATATATGCAAAGAAGATGTATTCACATAGTTTATTGCAAACCCACCCCCCAGAAAAGAACAGAGTTGTTGGGCATAAGACTTCTCATGTTATACCTTTTTCATTGATTTTAGCTTTTTCAGTTATAATCAAAAAACAAAACACAAAGAAAAAAAGGAAGAAACAAAACTGCAAAGCAATCGTGTCTGCATTAATCTATAATGGGAGATTTCTAAATGAGAAAAACTTAAAAAAGAAAAAAAGTCCCCGAGAAAAACCAAAACCAGAAATTGGCCACTGTGCTTTTAAATGCTGTCTGTCCCTTTTTCAGGACTGGAATTTAATTTCATGGAAAGCGGGGATATCTCCTTTCTATTTCCTTTGAAACAGCCTATCTAGATGAACATTCAACCAGCCGGTTCACTTCCCATCTTAATGCCAGGGCACTCCACTGAAACCATCTGTGAGGTCCCTGGAGATGCCTGAAGTTCAAGTCTCAAAAATACTTTTAATATATTATTAAGGTAATAATGCACGTACGTGATAAAATAATCATATTTTGAATATAAATGAGTATAAAATAAAGTAAAATTCTCTCTCTACCATTCACTATCCTAGAGCCTCTCAGTTAACATTTTCCTGTTAATATTTTCCTCTCTCAGACAGTATTTTGGAGTTACAAGAAGGACTGCTTGGCTTTAACTCTCAGCTCTGCCATTAATGAGTTGTGTGATCCTTATCACTCTGTGCCTCAGTTTCCCAAGAAGTATAAAGATGCATAACTTTGGGCCTGGGTTTGTAGCTCAGCAGTAGAGTACTCGCCCAGCACGTGTGAGGTCCTGGGTTCGATCCTCAGCACCACATAAAAATAAATAAATAAAATAAAGGTATTGTGTCCAACTACACCTAAAAAATAAAGATTGGGGGGGGAGCATAACTGTAATTTGTGCCCAATTGGAAGGATTAAATGAGCTATATTCCTTGAGTGTAATAACTGATATGCTATGTCATCAGTTTTATCTTTATGGAAAAAATTTTTTTACATGTTACTCATATAACTGTATAACTATTACATACATATTCTTAAATGTGCATATACATAAGCAACATTAAAATATATTCCCCCTTTTTTCACTTATTATATCTTAGAAAACTTTATTGGCACATTTAGATCTACCCTATTCTTCATTAAATTTGTATATTATTCTGTGTGGGAGGATGTACTAACAAAGAGTCAAGATATTTTATATTTATCAGACTTATATCACACCAGGACCTGTGTAAACATGAGAGAAGAATATTGTTCTTGGAGCAAACCCTAATTCTATTTTTATTGAAGTGTATTAGATACAAAGAATGCAGGAAATACAGATATCTTTTTTTTCTTTTTAAATATTTTTTTTAGTTGTTGATAGACCTTTATTTTATTTATTTATATGTGGTGCTGAGAATTGAACCCAGTGCCTCACACATGCTAGGCAAGTGCTCTACCACTGAGCTACAGCCCCAGCCCCAGATATCTTTTTTATGTTGAGTTCTCCTATCCAAGAATGCCCCTACAGCTTTGTGGCCATACTTTTCTGGGTTTCCTCTTCATTTTTTAAAAGCATTTATACTTTCCAACTCTCCCCCATAGTCTCAACTACTTCCATAATCTCAATCACTCCCCAGGTCTCTCTGCCAGGTCTCTCTGCCAAGCTCCAGAATGATCTGTCCAAATGCCTATTGGACCCATTTCTTCTTCAGTGCTCCATAAGCTTTCCAAATTTGACTAGGATCAAAGTAACATTCTTCCCCTCTTTTCACCTAAACCTGCTCTCCTCCTGTACAGACCATCTCAGTCATCCAGTTCCACAGGTCACCCTGGCTTCTTTCATCATTTAAAAATATCAGTTGAAATTGTTTATTCCTCTCCAATCTTCACCACCTTCAGCATCTCATAGTATATATACTTTTTAATCTCTATCACTGTACCAGTTTCATCTCTGCTCTCTCTACAGTCTGTCTGCACCTCCATTCTACTGTCAGAGTAGTTGATCTAAAAATACAAACATGGGTTGAGGGAGTAGCTCAGAGGTAGAGTTCTTGCCTAGCATGCCTAGGACCCTGGGTTGGATCCCCAGTACCACACAAGTAAAAAGCACTTAAAATACAAATCAACAACTGCAGTCCTGGGCAGTCAGAGATCTGGCATTACCTGTAAACTGACCACAATGTTGGACTGTCTCATTCTTCTGGGCCTTTGCATGTTCTGGGTCCCCTGCTCATCCTTGACCTCTTGAAAACACTATTCAGATTATCACTTCCTCTTACACGTTTTTCTGCACTCTTCCTTTCTCCTTTCCTCTAAAAGGTGCCTACCTTGTCCTCCCTTATGCCCTGCGGTATCCCTTTCTTAGACCTTTTTCACAGTTTGGAGATTGAACCAGGGGTGCTCTACAACTGAGCTACATCCCTACACTTTTCTATATATAAAATGTATGTATATAAAATGTATACATAAATGTGTATATATACATACATATAGGTATATAGGTATATATGTGTATGAATATATATGTACCTATATGTATATATACACACACATGTACACACAGTTTATAGGTTTTCACTGAATTTCCCAGGCCGACCTTGAACTTATGATCCACCTGCCTCCGCCTTCTTAGTCTCTGGGATTAGAGGATGGATCACCATGCCCTGCCTCTTCGTCTTTTTGGGTTTTTTTTTTTTTTAATCATTGTATTTCTCACATATTCTTTTTTTTTTTTAAGACAATTCACTGTACACATTTTATTTACAGTTTTGTACACTATCTTAATATGAATGGGACTGCTTTTCTACTTGAGCTTTTTTTTAAATTAAATTATTTATTTATTCTAATTTGTTTTACATGATGGCAGGATGCAATTCATTTCATATTACACATACAGAGCACAATTTGGCAAGTCATTGTTTGTACACAAAGTATGTTCACACCATTCATGTATTCATACATGTACGTAGGGTAATGAATGTCTAACTCATTACACAAGCTTTCCTACACCCCATGCCCCCTCCCTAGGCCCTCCCTCCTCTTTGCCCTATCTAAAATTCCTCCATTCCTCCCATGCTACCCCCCCCAATGCCCTTATGAGTAAGCATCCTCATATCAAAGAAAACATTTGGCCTTTGGTTTTTATGGGATTGGCTAACTTCACTTAGTATTATATTCTCCAATTCCATCCATTTACCTGCAAATGCCATGATTTTATTCTCTTTTAACGCTGAGTAATATTCCGTTGTGTATATACATCAAAGTTTCCCTGTCCATTCATCTACTAAGGGGCACCTATGTTGGTTCCACAGTTTAGCTATTGTGAATTGTGCTGCTATAAACATTGATGTGACTGTGTCCCTGTAGTATGCTGTTTTAAGTCCTTTGGGTATAAAATGAGGAGTGGGATATCTGGGTCAAATGGTGGTTCCATTCCAAGTTTTCCAAGGAATCTCCATGCTGATTTCCAGATTGGCTGCACCAATTTGCAGTCCCTCCAGCAATCTGTGAGTGTGCCTTTTTCCCCACATCCTTGCCAACACATGTTGTTTGTATTCTTGACAGCTGCCATTCTGATTGGAGTGAGATGAAATCTTGAGTACTTTTGACTTGCATTTCTCTAATGGCTAGAGATGTTGACATTTTTTTTATATGTTTGTTGATCAATTGTATATCCTCTTCTAAGCAATGTCTGTTTAGTTCCTTGGCCCATTTATTGATTGCCTTATTTGTTTTTGGGAGGTGTTAAGGGTTTTGAGTGCTTTATTTATCCTAGAGATTAGTGCTCTATCTGATGTGCTTATGGTAAAGATTTGCTCCCATTCTGTAGGCTCTCTACTCATCTCACAGATTGTTTCTGTTGCTAAGAAAAAACTTTTTAGTTTGAATCCATCCCATTCATTAATTCTTTTTTTTTAGTTATACATGGACACAATATCTTTATTTTATTTTTATGTGGTGCT